CACCATGAAGGCAGTCATTCTGCCAAACTCCCATATATTCCCATATGCTAGCATCTTGATGATCGTCGAAACGTCTACAAGACCCATAACTTTGAACTTAGGATCACTGGGTTCACGCAAGATTATTACGCATCACCACTACAAAAAGCTTGTTTTCATATAAGCTGCGCTTTCTTCGCACCAACTTCAAAAGCGCGCAAGCAGTGTTTCCAAGGTTCTAAACATGGGCCCCTAATATAGTCCCCTACCTGCCTTCGCTTGCCTTTCTTGGGGTTCATAGGGTATGTAGCGGGCAGGGATTAAGTGTGCCGATGCTAGGAGTCCATAGTTCCAACATTAGAATATTGATGTGGCATCAGGCATCCTTAGCAACCTGTGAGGCATTCGCCGCCAACAATAGCAAGGCACACGGATGCACACGCTGCAAGGTCAGTCATAGAAACCTCTAATTAACTTCCTGCCCCCCACCTACACGCAGCCAGCAAGAAATGTTCCCAATTTAGCACCACGATGGCGGTCAGACAGGTGGTCAGTCTTTTGCTAAACATGATCAGAACAGTCGTGGTTGCATCCAAGGTAGTGTTTGCAATTTTGTCGCAGCTGTTCAGCTGCATTCATGTAGCTTTGTTGTTTCCCGCATCTATGCCCTCAGACAGTAGGATTCCTCATTCTTCTCCAGATTTTGGAAACCCCTACCCCTTTGCAATATTTCATCTTCCTATTTTCCGTTCCATGGTCCATTTGCTTTTTCAATTGACTCTCCGTTACTGGGTGTTATATTCCTTTATTATCTTTATATGACCCCTAGATGATCCTTATATACTTCCTATATAACTCTATAATCTAGTGGAAACCCCCATCTGAAGATTCAGGGCGCTCCTGGTGCATGCCAGGCGCAAAACTGGCAGTCTCCGCAGAAGCAGAAGCAGAAGTCTTGGTCTGCCCATAACTCAGGGGTTTGGGGTTTACGGTGCAGGGTACCTAGCCCAGACCCCCTAAAGGATCTTAGATACCCTGGAGGGTAAGGGTTGAGGTGGGGACATGGAATGGTAGGTCGAGCTCGTGATGACAAGATGCGGGTGTCCAAAAGTAAAGGGCCCTGACCATGGACTTTACCTTACTTCAATTCTTACGGGCCCCCCAAAAACGGTCAGGCATTTTGCGTCATTTAGGGCATGGGAGTCTTTTGACAAGAGAACATACCAAGAGCCCTGCAGGTACTCCCCTCCCCTCCTCTATCTATACTGAGCCCCAATAAAGGTTATGTAGACCGTTTTTGGGCATGGAAAGCTGATTAAAACAGCTGGAAATGCAAGGTCTAGGCCTTCGGTTCAGTCGTCGAACACGTCCCCCACCGTGACAATAGCAACAATAAAAATACTCCAATAACTGTAGTACTAATCATAAGTATGCAGGGTAGGGGATGGGAGGGGATTTATTAGGTTAGATAGGGGCAGACTGAAGTAGATAACACTGGTTGTTTTTAGTAACGTACCTACCTAGTAGTTGTCAGCTGCTTAGGCACCAGGGTTCTCTTTCTAGCTGGCATGCCTGTTCCCTTGGTACTGGAGTTAGGAGTACAGAGAGCAATGTACCGAGCTGCCATGTGCAAATCCAGGTGTTCCGCTGGGGTGCCCTGGCAACACGCATGGGTGGAAATGTGTAGACAAAGACGTGCCCCAAGCACGAAAACTGCTCTGACTCATACAATGCCACCCCACAACATGGAACTACCTGGTGTCGGATACCTGTTCTTCACGATGTACCTAGAGAGGGCAGATTGGGAAAACGCAAGTTGTAACCATGCAATGTCCTACAGTCTTTTATAGATGCAATCATGGGTAGCGCTAGCCTTTCCTGGTAGACCTACCTAGAGACGTACGCGCATAGCTCCCATCTGAGAAGATATAGTCCCCCTTAAACAGATAGAATATGGAATTGACCGAAATAGTAGTAACATGCCCATACACGCCATTTTCTATCTACTTAAGGGGGACTGTAACCCCAATATGTGCCCTATTGTTAATGTAGTAGTTTAATTTTCTCTGCCATTATCCCTATAAAGCCCCAGCAGTATAGTTACCCCATTAGTCTACTGAAGGGGTACGATAACCCTAACCCTAAGCCCTAAACCCTATTCTATCTGCTCAAGGGTACTACAAGCCTTCTTGGATACACACTTGATCAGGCTCCTGAGCCTGAGCCTGCCCCTGCTGACGGAGGCCAGGCTTCAGGCCAATAAGCATCATCCCCATAATAGTAATAGTAAGTAAAGATAGTCATAGTAATGGTAGTAATAGTAATAATAGTCATAATAGCAGCATGAATCATAATAATAATGATCGTAGTAAAGAATAATAACAGTAGTCATAATCTATATAATAATAATAGTAGTAGTAGTAGGTAGTAGTAGTAGTAGTAGTAGTCGTGGTAGTAGTAGTAGTAGTAGTAGTAATGACAATCGTAAGTTCAGTCTGATCTAGACTCACAGAGGGCATACCTTTCCAAACGCTCGGAAGGCGCTGGGTAGAAGTAGGACATGGGTATTGGTCTAAATTCCCTATAATACGGGGTCCTATATTTGGGTTCCCATTATAATACGGGGCCCTATATAAATTTCCCCATTTTGGGAACAGTAATTTAGGGAAACTTCCACATAGTCCCCGAACCTCTTGATTGACTACAAAGTGAAGCGGAAAGCATGCATCAGAAGTACAAGCAGGACATTTCGTAAGCCTTCGTAAGCCTGGATGGGGGTTTCAAGAATCATCAGCATCAGTTTTCCTTGTAAGCTTTTCCTGTCCTGTGCAAAGTGAGTGTTCCTGGTCCTGCAGTGTCCTGTCCTCACGGTTCGCCCAGCCACTACTGCTTGTACTGCTTCAGCTGCTATTGGTTGCCCTTGTCCTGCTGCCCCAACTTCTGCCTCCCAGGGTCACACCGAAGACGCCCAGCCAACCTATGCATGCCACCATCTGCTATGTTCTTACCTGCATTAGTTCCTGACCTTGCTGCTGTTCCCAGGGCCCGATGTCTGATAGTGTTTCGTAGTGACAGCAAGAATGTCAGTTTGAGACACCAGGAGTTCTAGACTAGCTCAGCACTAGGCCCATGCTTCTCAACATGAGTGAGGTCACCCAGGGAGGGTTTTGCTCTTGCACATCCCCAGCTTGAGATGCTTTGCAGGACTCCCGAGGTTTGTTTGGGCCTCATTGGACTCCACAGCTGGCCTTGTGCAGGACCGCCTCAGGTTTGGTGTATATGGGGTCTATTTTTAGCTTCCCTATTTTGGGAGACTCCTATATGAATCTAAAGTTTAGGGATTTGTTCATAGGATCTTTGAGTTGGCAAGATTGTGTTAAGCAGACTTGATGCAGGAAGGAATGCCGGGCGAAGGCTTGTGTGTCTATCACGACAAGCAGTATGCGGTTTGCCCGGCCTGTTTTGATTGACATGTTCTTCGCTGCGTGTTGAACATCATGGGCGTCTCCGCTCGCTGCACAGGACCTCTTCAAAAGTGGTCAGTACGTTCTGCAGGAGGCGTGAGTCAGTGCACTGCCCACCAGGGAAGGTCTGACCTGCAGCATGGCAACATGCTTTCGTTTTGAAGAGGGAAAGCTCAACTGGATTTTGGCTCAAGCTGGAGCCCCCAATGCTGGACATGTCAGGAAGTGGCTACACAGCAGGAACGAAGGCATTAGTACAGTTGACGGACGATGACGACGACGTCCTGGTTCGATCAAGCACCTGGTCAGGCGAGACAAAGAGCAAATCGAGCAAGCCTCAGGTCCCAGGCGACCAGAGTGAGGGCCTTCTTTACGGCGACTCGAAATGTTACGGTGGGCGTTTCACCTATGGACAGTGGCGACGGTTTTTTGCACAGAAGCGTGCAGCGGGCACGCAGCAAGATGCCAGCGGGCAGCTCATCACAGCTGGCCTGTCCCAAGACTTTTCATGGAATGCTTTCGTGCAGTATTTCCGGCCAGAAATCTGGCTCCTGGTGCTGCTTCATGCAGATGCTGCTGCAATGAGTGCTATTGCCAGCTGCTGTCGCGGTTACAGACAGATCACGCTTCCATGGAGGCGTGGGGGCACATCTGCTTCTGAAGCGGAGCTTCTCGGACTTTGTTAACATTGCCAACCGCAGCACGAAGCCCTCAACTCAACAAAATGTTAAAATGCATCTGGGGGTTGTCCGAAAAACCTCGCTTACGATCTATATGAACGGAAACCAAGTACTCGTATAACATAATTCGTCAAAAGCCCTGCACGCGAAAGCTCCGCGCAAGCACGGCGCCAGGTTCGCGCAAGCGTTTGACTCTCAAAGTATGGCTCAACACAAGCCAACAGCGAAAATTCAAAATTACGCAGCGAATCCGCGCAAGCTTGGCGCAAGCT